TTTGAGATGGAGTCTTGCTCTGTCACCCAGGCTGGAGTGCAATGGCACAATCTCGGCTCACTGCAACCTCTACCTCCTGGGTTCATGCCATTCTCCTTCCTCAGCCTCCCGAGTAGCTGGGACTATAGGTGCTCGCCACTATGCCCGGCTAGTTTTTTGTATTCTTTAGTAGAAACGGGGTTTCACTGTGTTAGCCAGGATGGTCTCGATCTCCTGACCTCGTGATTCACCCACCTTGGCCTCCCAAAGTGCTGGGATTACAGGCGTGAGCCACTGCGCCCGGCCGCTAAACCATTTTTTAAAATGGTACAGGGTCTTGCTCTGTTCCCCAGGCTGGAGTGCCATGGCACTATCTTGGCTCACTGAAGCCTCGACCTCCTGGGTCAGGAGTTTGAGACCAGCCTGGCCAACATGGTGAAACCCCGTCTCTACTAAAAATGCAAAAATTAGCTGGGCGTGGTGGCCCATGCCTGTAATCCCAACTACTTGGGAGGCTGAGGCAGGAGAATTGCTTGAATCCGGGAGGCAGAGGTTGCAGTGAGCTGAGATTGCACCACTACACTGCAGCGAGGGTGTCTCAAAAAAAAAAAAAAAAGCTAAATGTTGTTTTTTAGAAAAACACCACCTGGCCAGGCGCGATGGCTCACACCTGTAATCCCAGCACTTTGGGAGGCTGAGGCGGGCGGATCACCTGAGGTCAGGAGTTTGAGACCACCCTGGTCAACAGAGTGAAACCCTGTCTCTACCAAAAATACAAAAATTGGCGTGGTGGTGGGCGCCTGTAATCCCAGCTCCTTGGGAAGCTGAGGCTGGAGAATCACTTGAACCCAGGAGGTGGAGGTTGCAGTGACGGGAGACTGCACCATTGCACTCCAGCCTGGGTGACAAGAGTGAAACTCTTCTCAAAACAAACAGGAAAACCCCACCACCTGTGATGGGTGAGGGAAGCAAAGTGTCAGCCACTGCGCCTGGCCCACAGGTGTTGTTTTTGAGGACGTTCCTCAGTCATACCCCTGCACACAAATATCTATCTCAGAATCTGTGTCTTGGAGAACTTGACCGAGGACACATCTGCTCGTAGGACATAGAGACACTGTCTGCAGACAACGCCTTGTAGGCTGAGATTGTGATGGGGATCACCCCTCCTCCAACCTCCTACCCAGACAAGCAGTGTCTGAGTGGGGCTTGGAAGAGTTTATAGATGATGCTCCATCCCAGATGCAGACTGAGCTCACTCTCCAGTTAGAGAACCGGACAGTTACCTGTTACCACCAGATCCAGCAAGTCGCTGCGCTCTGACCAGAGCTCCCCAACCCGATAGATGCAGCTGTATCGCCCTGCCTTGCGGGAGTTCATGTCCGGGATGTGGAATTTGACTCCATTAATCCGTTCAGGCGGTTTTGGTCTCTCCACGGCAAAAAGGCTTCCTTCAAAATGCAGCTGGTATTCAACAGCGCCATAACTTCCCTGGCAACAGAGGGTCGCTTGCTTTTCCTTCGGAACCATGTAAGTGGATTCGGCCCTGATGATGGGTTTTGGGAGAGTCTCTGGAAGGGAATCAGAGGCTGGAGTTCCAGCTGAGCCCCGACCCCCCAACCGTAGGCTCCACCCTGCTGCTGGCCCCAGGCCCTCCTGGGAAGCCAGCACCCCGCCCCCTCTCCCCAGCTGTGCTTGGGTGGACGGTGCTTGGCCTGAACCCGAAAGAGTGACCCTGGGCTTTGAAGGAAGGACTCACGCTTCGGGGCGCTGATTCTCTGGCTCAGACACAGCCCTGGAAGACGGGCATAATGAGACCCGTTGCCTCCCAGGCACACCCTGATCCCATTCCCCTTCCATGCAGGAACTCACCGAGGCAGAGCAGGGCACGGAGCGTGGAAGGCATCGCTCAGATTCCACCGGCCGAGTGCTGAGCAGCGGGGTGGGGACTGAGCCCAGCGAGCCAGGGAGATGCACAGGAAGTGGTGGGTGAGCCCCAGCGCCCATCGCCAGGAAGCTTTCATGTTGACTTTTTTCATTAGAACGTTCACCACTCCCCCTCCACCTCTGACCATGAGCCTACGGAAAGGCCATGGTCCCTCTGACACATCTGCGGTCTAGCCAGCTCCTCTGACATTTGTCTGCTCAGCCTGAAATGCATTTCTGGGTCAGCTTCTCAATTCTGCAATGTGAAGGTGGTACCCAGAGCTGACCGTGAGAAGTCAGGCCTAATGACGCTCAGAGGAAACCCCCTGAGAATCGTATAAAAACACAGGGAATTTCACAGTGAGATACTGGAACAGGAATGAAAAGAAATTAAAGAAGTGTCACAGAACGAGACGCAGACAAAACTCCTCAGACACCGGATGAAAGAAGGAAGAGGTTTTTTATTCGGCCGGGAGCGTTGGCAGACTCACGTCTTAAGAGCCGAGCTCCTCAAAAAAAGAAATGCTTGGCCTTTTTAAAGACTTACAACTCTAAGGGGTCCACGTGAAAGGGTCGTGATAAATTGAGCAAGCGTGGGAAACGTGACTGGGGACTACATGCATCAGTTAACAGAACAAAAAGTTTTACAATGCTTTTTTCATACAGTGTCTGGAGTTTACAGATAACACAAGTAGTTTAGGTCAGGAGTTGATGTTATTATTATTCCTTTTTTTTTTTTTTTTTTTTT